CACAGGGTGCTGTGGGATCAAGAAGCAAGGGTTCCTGATCTAATCGTTGTGGGGAGGGGATGGAGGAGCAGGAAGGCTTTCCCACAGATGTGGGATTTAAGCTGGGATGAGCTTTGATTAGATAAATAGCACTCCCAATTCACTAGAAATAGAACTAAGTAGCAATTTGGGTGGGGATCCATTTGGAAGAAACAAATGAAAGAAGAAAGAATCAGAAGAAAACAAAAAACAGTCTTCATCTATTTTGGTCACTGCTGTCTCACAGTGCCAAACAGGGCCCTGTGGAATGGATTCCTCAGCATTTAGACAGTAAGACTTGCTGGGGGATTTTCTGTGTCAGAACTCCAGGGTGCCCTTTCCATCCCCCCACCGCCTCCTGGGCTCTCAGAGTAGTATGAATATGACTAGTAATTTTCAAGTTCAATGGTTTTCAGACTGTATTGTGTTGGGGCTCCAAGTTTCATAATAAATAAAAATTAAAGCCATTCCTCTTTTAAAATGAATGTTTCACTGGGTGATTCCCTGGTGGAGGGAGGAGATCTGCTGCTAAAAATGGTGAACCCACAGAACTGATCCCATTGTATAGGGGGGAAGATGGAAGTGTGCATTTGCTGTTATTCTCTGAGGGACGGAGATACAGGTGATCTGTGAGGCAGGGAGAATGGGTAGAGATCCCAGAGACACACTTGTCTGCTTGTCAAGTTTAGTGCCTAGCAGATACTAAATGCATGATTTAAATAGGTGATTGACTAGTTCCTTTAGGAATCAAAGATATGCCTTCACTTTCATAGCCTCACACAAGTGCAGGGCTGGATTTACTTTGTTCTCACTGGTGGGAACCTAACGATTCCACTCTTACGGTTTTCCTCTTCTCAGTTCTCTGAACATCAGTGTGGATGGGGATGGAGAGTTCACTGTAAGAATGGCCCTGTTTCAAGACCAGAACTATGTATCTCCTTACGAAGGGGCCGTAGCTGTCCTGGCTGTTGAATCTATGCTCTATGTGGGTGCCATCTTGGAGAGAGGGGACACCTCCCGGTTTAACCTGTTGTTGAGGAACTGCTATGCCACACCTACTGAAGATAAGACTGACCCTGTGAAATATTTCATCATCAGAAACAGGTAACAGGCAACTCTGGGTTATCTTTTGGCCTGATTAAGGTTTTCGGGGAAGAAAGATCACCATGGCCCTGCCTGGTAGTTGTGTAAACTGGCTTACTTCTTTTGCAACATAATTTGGCATTACATATCATGACCATACTTTTGACCCAGGAGTATCACTCTTGACATTTTAGCCTAAAGCATTAATACAAAATAGGTCAGCAAGATAAAGAAATGCCAATTATTTTTCACTTAAGTATCCTTTATAACCTTGGCAATAGGTTCACAGTTCAAAAATAGGGATCCATTAAGTAATGATGGGCTATTATACAGATAGTAACACCGACAAATCAACATGAAAATGGTATGACAAGTGTTATGGGACAAGATATCGCTGAAATTGCTAACTGGCAAAAACAAAGGGAAAATGTATATCCATAGATCATGATTCAAACCATGGTAAAAATATTAGCTAATATGTTTCACTGAGTTTAGTTATGAGTTTAGCCATGCACTGTGTCACTAAATGGTGACATCAACATCAACCCCAGGAGGTACAGATTACTGTCTGCTCTACAGACCAGAAAAGGGAGTCTCGGACAGGTTAAGTCATCTGCTCATGATCATTTAGCTAGAAAGTAGGTCTGGGTGGAATATGAAGCAGTCTATTTCACCTCAGAGAACAAACCCCACAGAAACCTGGGCTGATGAATAAATGTCTTGGAGGGGGCGCGTAGGGTGGCTCAGTCAGTTAAGCATCTGCCTTTGGCTCAGATCATGATCTCAGGGTCCTGGGATTGAGGCCCAGGTCGGGCTCCATGTTTAGTGGGGAGTCTGCTTCTGCCTCTGCCCCTCCCCACCTCTCATGAGCGCTCTCTCTATATATATATTTCAAAAAAATTTAATACCTTGAAGGAAACCCAGAGGAATAAAAGTCTATGTCAGGATGGAGGGAATCAGGGAACTCTTACATTCTCTATGATGATGTTTTTATACTAGATACAGATTAAAGATACAGCCAAGGACCTCAGGTTCCTTGAGCTGTTCTAAAAGTAGACCCTTGCCCCTGTCACCTTCCCAGCTGCCCAAATCAATATGATTCCACCATCCATGTGGAGGAGAATGGGGTGTCCTCAGAAAGCCGGTTCTCAGTTCAGATGTTCATGTTTGCTGGAAATTATGACCTAGTCTTCCTGCATTGTGAGATTCATCTCTGTGATTCCCTTAATGAACAGTGCCAGCCGGTGAGTATCTCTTTAGAGTGAACTATTCAGAGATTCACATGGGGCCTGGTACCTGGTAGTCTCACCATATATATTTACTGCAATTACAGAGGGATGGAAAGAAGAAAGGGAGAGAGGGAAGGAGGGGAATAGGAAAGGATGAATGGATGGACATTCAATCTCCAAAAAGTCCATGTGTATGTAATTATTGTGTCCCTAGGAAGCAGATCAGACAAAGAAGTCTGCCCACTAAGTTTCCCTGGCACAAGACATATTTTGAATGATTTCATAATAGTGGACTTTTAAGTGCCTATTCCATGTCAGGAATTACACTAAAACTTTCATATAACTTATTTAATTAAATTCTCACAAGAACCCTTTAAGTAGATTTTTTGTTAACCAACTTGTACAGATGAGGACACTGAGCTTAACAGAGGTCTTCTGCCCAAAAGCAACACAGCTAGAAAGCATCAGAGCTGAGAGATAACTCGAGTGTCCATGCTCTTAACCCCTGTTTGGTACTGCCTACTAGAAGCTGGCATTTGTTGAGTGTGGACTATGTACCTGGGTGTTACAGACATGCTCATTTTAATCTTTCAGACCAGGAAGGTATTACTTAATAGTCCAATAGAGAGGTGAAGTCATTAGTACCAAATTAGACAGCTAGAATTAGAGTGGAGATGTGATGGAATGGATGAGATAAGTAGAAAGGAGTCAAATCCATGTTTGCTTATGACTTGACAGTAAGTTGAGAAAACCACAGCCTCAGAGTTAGGGGTACATGGTGGGTAGGGTCCCATTCTTGGGCCAGATTCTTGTCCCATTGCAGGGACATCCTGGATAGGAACTATGACTTTAAATTTTGATATAATGAGATCTCTCCATCCCCCACAGTCTTGCTCAAGAAGTCAACATCGCAGTGGAGTAGTGGCTATCAACCCAGCCCAGGTTCTAGATTTGGGACCCATCACTCGGAAAGGTGAGTGGCCCACTTCTGGGTGAGAAGACCAGGTGGTCAAGTGCTGACAGTTAACCACAGATGCCTGGGGTCATCACCCTAACAACTTAGAGCCCTTTTTACCTCCTCACTGCAGCCCCCACCAGTGAATCTATCTTTCTATGAAGTGCTTTGGGTAAATAACAACAGCATTTGCCATTTGTGCTGAACCTCTATGTGCTAGAGACCAGGCTAAGCTCTCAGTATCCATCAACTCACTTTATTCTCCTGACTGAGTCCATTTTACCAGTGAGAAACTGAAGCTTGGAGAGATTAAGTGGCTCACCCCAAGTCACTCAGCTCACGAGCAGCTGGAGTTAGAACTGAACCCAGCTCAGACTGATTCCATAGCATATGCCCCTTGCCTTTTTCTTCTTGCCAAGTCCCCTTACCTCAGCCCTTTTTGGGTGAAGTCTTTAACCCAATTTTGTTTTCTGGTGAATGACTATGTTTTCCAAAATCCAGTTATAATATTCTGGGGCATGATGTAGGGGAAGCTTTATAATTGCCCACAAATGTTAACGTGCCCATGGGTGAACACTACTGTTGTGATTTCTATTACCACTAGAATGGAGGAGTCAAAAAACCCAGAAGAATGAAAGCAACTTTTTTTTTGTCCTAAAGAAATTAGGACGCAGTAATGCTAGTAACAGCAGCAATGACAGTAACAGTAATAACACATGAGGCTGGCACCGTACAAAACATTTATATGCATCATCACATGGAATGCTCACGACAGCCTAAGCTGGTAATCACTATTACCACTTCCATTCTCCAGGTGAGTAAACTGAGGCTGTCTTGTAAAGAAGGCTCTGTCCTGAGTTGTCCTGCCTCTTTACTGAGCCCTCAACCTGAGGCTTCATCTGGTATCACAGGGTTGTTGGAGGGTTAGGAAATTTTATTTTGGAATCAGATAGATGGAGATTCAAATTCCAGCTTTACTACCAACAACAAGGTCAACTTAGGCTTCCTTGGTCAACTGAGCCTCAGTCTTCTCCGCTGTTGAATGGGGACACAAATACTTTCCTCACAAATCTGCTGAAAGAACTAAGTTTCAAATGCATGAAATGGGCTTAGAAATAACAGATGCCTCAGCAGTGAGGGTGGCCAGGTCCAGCCAGGTCAGTGGCTGCGGTGGCCAGGTCCAGGAGGACCTGGAGCAGCTATGGCCACAGTGCCAGTCCCCGGCACACGACTGAGGAAACCTTCACCTCTGCTCTTGTCCCCAGGTGCTCCATCTCTTGGCGTCGCGAATGGAACCCCCAGCTCTGCAGGTACATTTTTATCTCCTGCCTATCCCACTGCCCTCCCTCCCAACGCTCGTTTAGTCCTCTTCTCAATTCAGTGCACATTGATTTAGCCTGTGCTAGTGACTGTGGACACTGAAATCAATCAGTCCCAAGTGTGGCTCTTGAGATGCTCAAAGTCTAGCACAGGGGCCAGTCATTTAACAATAAATACTTATTGGGTGCCCACTGCTTGCCAGGCATTGTTTAGATGCTGAAGATACAATAGTAAACAGCACAGACCAGGTGCCTGCCCTCATGGAGCTTATGATACAGTGTGGGAAACAGTCAATTAAAAGTTAACAAGATAATTTAGAAAAGAGAGTGATGTGTTAGAAAGTTACCAGCATGGGTAACAGTGTCTTTAAAAAGATAGTAGTTTATTTTACTCACATGTAAATGAAGTCCAAAGGCAAGCAATCTGGGGATCCTGGGGTGGCACCACAAGGTCATCAAGAATCCAAGTTCTTTTAAGCTCTCCCCTCCACCTTCTTCATCCTCCTGCTCCAAGATGGAAGCCAGAGCTCCAATCTTCATCTCTAGTCAGCAGGATGGAGGGAATATGGAAAAAGTCAGAGTGTTAAGGAACATTCCTAGAAGCTGACACCTTACACTTACACTTATCTCACTGGCCAAAGTTTAGTCACACCTGGCTGCAAAGGAAGCTGGAAAATGTAATCTTTATTCTGGGCGGCCATGTCCTGAACCAATGTTTGATGGTTCGATTTATAAGGCAAGAAGGAAAAATAAATAACAGAATGGGTAAATGGCCAGAAAAATGTTCAGAGGAGGTGATATTTGAATACAATGAGAAAAAGGGGCCAGGTTTGCAAATAATAAAGGAACAAGCCCTATAGGCAGAATGAACAAGAGTTGCAAAAATGAGACAGTCATAGAAGCAAATCGCAAGCAAGTAGATAGTGTGGCAGGAGCACACAGAAGAGTAATGAACTGTACCTGGTAAGGTCAGGCAAGAATTTTAGCAGGTGGCAACATCTGAATGGTGTTTGGTGGGTGACCTGGAATTTAACAGGGAGACCAATCCAAGAAATGTGTTTTGGACCAAAGGGAAAGCAATGGTACTAAGATTTTACTGCCCCCTCTTCCCAACACACACATGACCTATACTGGTGAACCCAGACATGAAAACGTTCTTTCCATCCTTAATTCTCCAGCTAGATAACAGCCTAAAAGTTTCCAAATAAGGTCAAGATGGCCCCTCCACACTTAGGGCTAATATTCAGACAACACTCAGAAAATTGTGCTCATCAGAGACAGGGGTCAGAGCTCAGACTAAAAGGAGCTGGAGAGCAGACATCACGTCTCATACACTTCTCCCAGTACTTCAGGTTAGCGCAGTGCTGGGAACAGCCCAGTTTCCCAGTAGAGTTTGCCAAACTGACTAATTTCTAGGATGGGCAGTGGATTCTGGAGACTTCTGGAAGAAAAGGGGAGCGATCTCATGCAGTATGAGAACGCCACAAGAGAGCACTTATGGTGTTCTTTGTTTGCTATCTCCCACAAACATGTCTGAGGTTTTAGAATTAACTGAACAACCACCTGTGTTTCATAAATACAAACTGGTTGTCATACACTAATATTTCAGAAAATTATGATATTCTTCACTTCCTCCTAGAATATCAGCAAGTTACTCTGAAGTTTATGACAGAGAAATGTTATAATCTCATAGTATGGCGGGAGGGGTGCACATGCCTCTCCCAGGCCCCCCTGTACAAGGCATCTATCACCCAGGACCCACACCCTTCATTAACACTGAGTATATGATCATTTTCAGAGGAGATGTGTTCTCAACCCTCCCAGATCTTGGAGTCTAATATTCAAAACTGACACTTACATGGTGTTTATTATGTGCCAGGAACTGTTCCAAATGTTTGATATGAATTTACTCACTTAAGCCTGACAAAAGTCCCATGAGGTATTAGTTGCTTGTGATTTTTCAATTTTGCATACAGATAAACTCAGCCATGGTGAGGCTCAGTAACTTACCTGGGCCTGCACAACTGGTTGTAGAGCTGGGATTCTTCTTCTTCTTCCCTTTTTTTTTTTTTTTTAAAGATTTTATTCATTTGACAGAGAAAAAGAGAGTACACAAGTGAGGGGGAGGGGCAAAAAGAGAGGGAAGCAGACTGCCTGCTGAGCAGGGAGCCTGACCTAGAGCTTGGTCCCAGGACCCTGAGATAATGACCTGAGCCAAAGGCAGACGCTTAACTGACTGAGCCACCCAGATACCCCTAGAGCTGGGATTCTAAGCCAGTAAGTCAGGTCTCGGAGGCTTTTTAACCTCTGTGTCCTTCTCCATCTTTAGTATTAGTCAGCATAAGTAATATTAGCTGCTATGACAGACAATCCTCATCTTTCTGTGCCTTTACACAATAGTTTATGTCCCACTAAATCACTGGGGGATGTAGTTCTGTGCTTTGCAGTCATTAGGAAGTCAGGCTCTTACCTTCTGGTAACTCTGGAAACTCCACTGTCCCCAGCAAGTCCTCTGCCGGATCCTTGGCATCTGGTCCCTAGATGGTGGGTGACCAGAGTATGGAAAATTATGCAAGAGGTTTTAAGGACCAGGTCTAGAAATGGCATATCTGATTGTTACCCACATTCCACTGGCCAGATTCAATCATGTGATCTCACCTACCTGCAAAGGAGGATGGGGGAAAATTGCCTTCCAGTATACCCAAAGTAATATGAAAAAGTGTTTGATGATTAGATAGCTTTGCCTCTACCACATGACCCCTTTGCCACTTCCCAGGGGTTGTAACCTAGAACAGATATTAAGGATACTTAGAAAGGCCTTAAGTATTAAGTATAGGCTAGCTTGCTTTGGCTGCTGAGTTCCAAAGGCCAACACTTGACAGACATCTCTCTTATATTTCAGGGTTCCTGGGAGCTTGGCCCATGGTTCTCCTGCCTGTCCTCCTGGCTGGGCTGTTCTAAGAGCTCAGCCAAGCATCTAGCCTTGAAGCTCGTGTTCTTCCCTCTGGTGATGGCTTCCAGTCACCCATCGGCTATGCTGGTTCTCTCTCCAAATCACATAGACAGTCTTGGTGTTTAGACTCTGGGACAGGCTAGGTTTGGGGAAAGGGGAAAGATTCCCTTGTTCAACACTCTCTGTGCCTTTATATTCCTCTTTTTCTCATGGTGCAGGCCCTGTTGGCCTGGCCTGGCCTGATTTCCTCATTTATTAGCAGGATTTTGGAGCCAGACTGGCTCTGTGCTTCTGTGGCCCCAGCCTTTACCAGAAATGTATCATGTGTTACTCTGTAACTCCATAGTACACGAGCTGTATCACTGTGGGGTGGAGGTAGGAGAAAGGGGATGAGCTTGTTAAAAAGACACCTCTCATGGTTTCTTCCCAAGTATACCTTGTTCTAACTGCTGATGAACTGAACAGACTGATCCTTGCTTTAACCTGTGTCCTCTGATGTATTTCCAACATGGTCTCAGTAGTGGCCATGGGAATGAGTTGTAAAGGGTCCACTTCTGGAGATTCTACTCCCAGAGAAGACTGGTTCCCATTGCTCCCCTGCCTAGCTCCATACTGTAGACATGCTTTGATGTGCCTAGGAGTAGGCAAAAATCTACCCTAGGACCCAAATGCTGGAGGACCTGTTTGATTTGAATGCAGAGATGCTGTCACTCCAGAGTATACCTCCAGCTGTGAACAGTGGTACGCTCCAAAGTAAGCAATAAGTCCCAGTGGAAAATGCTATGTCGATCCTGCCATGGGGATATAGAAGAAGTGACTGGGGGGATGAGTGAAGTCCCTTTCTGGAAACCTCTGATGGGCCTTCATGAAACACTCCACAAAGATGCCACAAAAAGAGAATGCTTCCCCTTCCCATAGCTATACACAAGGCTCCTACAAGCTGGCCTCAGGGAAAAAATGATCAGAACAGGACCAGACCACAGGGGAGCAGAGCCTGTTTACGTGCTAGGAGGAGACTTTCCAAAGTGCTCTCATGTTCAGAGATAGTGTGGTTTCAAGAAACAGAAACACACGCCAATTACATCAGGCAAAAGGAGAATTAATTATCAAAATATAGGAGCAAAAAATCCAGAACAGAAGATACAACCTGGCTGTATGAGGAAAACCACCAGAAACCAAGGTTTGTTTGTCCTTCCGTCGGTTTTCCTGAAACCACACAACCTTCACATCTGCTTATCTTTGTGTGTCTTCTTTATTCCCCCGTCCTGAAACTAATTCTTGCTATTCATTCATCATGCCTCAATTAAATATGGACACTGAAGCTTCCCCTCACTTCCTAATTCAGGGACCATATAGACCAACTAACACTTGGTATCCTACATCTAAATTTACAAGAAAGAATGAGATTTCCCTGTTTGGTCAGAGTGCTTCCCTTGGTCCAAACATCTGAGGGTAGGTGTGGCCTCACCTAATGCAAACACAGCCAATAGGGCCAACCTGAGGAGGCAAGTCTCAAACACATGGCAGTGTTTCTTGGCTAGATACACCAAAAGTGTACTCTAATAGTGACTTTTTTAAAAGAGAAGTTCTTGGGAGGAATTGCTTCTTGTTTCCTAGTAAGTCAATGGATTCAGAGATATTGCATTTTAAGGGAGGAGTACACTAGGAATGCACCTGAAAGACAGGTCAGGGGCCCTAACCTTTTCCTTTCTCTGAGGTTCATCTTCTCCTTCCTATGGAATAAAGGGGCTGGACTAGAACAAGATTCTCTAACATTTATAGTGGAACCCTTTCTTTAAACACAGTTCTACATGAATACCCAATATGTAGACATTAAATGGAAATAGACTCTTGTTGATGTCAGGTAACGGGCTTAGTACTCCCATCTGTGATTCCCTCATCCTCTAGCCCTCAAAGAAACTCCAAGATAACCCAAAGGGTTACCAAGAGCAAAGTTCTGGAACTCTTTGGGATATATCACATCTGATATCTCTTCCAGTGTAAAGTATATGAGCTTCTACTTAACCAGAGCAAATCCTGGCTGTCTAACTATGTATGTATTTGTCTATCCATCTATCATCTATCCATCACAAACTCTCCTACTCTACCTATCCCCCTTGCTCTCTCCATCTATCTATCTATATATTTATAACATACGTAGTTAGTTACAGATTTTTGTTTTCTGCAGGTGGGCATACTAAATGAATAACAATCTCTGAACGTCCAATCCACTTTATTCATTTGGGCAACACTAATCTGCTGAGCAATTGTTATATCCCAGACCTAAGGGCCGAGGTACAATAATGAATGAAACATAGTCCCTCTCCTTAGAGGTTCACAATCTGGTGGGACACAAACACACAGAGGCACTCATGCGCAGGTCACACTCAACTGACCCCCTCTGACTCATAAACACACACCAACGTCATGAGCCCAAGGACATTTCCACATGCAGAGATCCTCACCAGGGCCCTCAGGCCCAATCACTTACATATATATTACCATAACTTAGTAAAGCTAACACTTTTAGCCTGTCCTATGCACCAGGCATTATTCTAAGCACATTAGGGGCAATGCAACATTCCAC